AAATTATTTAAAGCGAAGATAATATAAGTTTAATTTAGATATATAGATGAGAAAGATAAAATTATAATTGTCTGAATGTCTCCTTCATTCATTCATTACACACATATATATATATATATATATTAGAATTTCATCATTAAATAATGTAATAAATTATATAGGAGAAGGATGTAAACCAATATTCGACAGGGAAGAATTAAAAAAGGTTATAAACAAGACTAACGAAATAGAAGAACGACGCACAGTTGTAGCCATAGATAAAGAACAATCGGGTATGTATTGCACAAATAATTGTTATTTATTATTAGTTTTTACATTGAAGAATTTACCAATTGAAGAATTAAGTAATGAAGTAATATAATGAATACTTAAAGTTGCACTTGATTTTTTTTCGAAGTACTTGAAATTCTTTGAATAAGAAAAATTTAATATAAAAAATTAATATAACATAAAAAGTATAATATACTTGAGATTATATATATATATATAGATGATATATGCAAATATATATATATATATATATATATATACACATTCGTAATATAACTTTATACAATCGTATAATTATTATTTGATCAATTCCTTAAAATTTATGACATATCTCTTGGCCAAAAATAAGACGAAAATATCGAGACTGTAATGCTTCTCAAATGGGAAGCTATATTTATAATTATAATTATTATCGAATTAGAGGTAATTTAAAGATCGCGTGTTTGAAGACGATATATTACGTGTTATTTTTCTATAATTGTGTGAAAGTTTTAGTTCCCGATTTTTGAGGCTCATAATAAATATTACAAAACACGGTATTTAAAAAAATAGTACATAGTTTAACACTATAATATTATACAGCCTCGACAATCAAGTCACGTTCTTTGAGGAAACGATCTTTATCCTTGAGTCCTATTAGGAATCGTGTCTATTCAGGATATCCATCTTCCTATCAATCCAGGTTTGTTTTACTCGTTATGACAATATTCTATTTACGTTAAATGTACACTCTTTAATCTATTTTCTTGTGATTATAGTCGTCGCGTGGATTTGAAGCATCAGGATAAGATAGAAAAATGTGATACTCGTAAAGATGATGGGTAAGCTTTATTTATTTATTTATTGCGATAAAGAAAGTTTATTTTTGAAATAATGAAGGGTACATATAAACAAGTATTACGTATAATTAAAAACAAGTAAAAGAGCGTTTATACTGGCCGTAATCGTATGTCTCGTATGACGTAATCTGTAAAAATTGACCAATTACTTCCGAGTATTCCCTTCTTACTATCGAATGAGAGGGGAATATTAAACTGTGATTAGTCAATTCTTACAGATTATGACATACGGCATATGATTACGGTCAGTATAAACGTTCCCTTACTGTTTTATATCTGAAAAGTATATTCTGTTACTTTATTTTAGGAGAAGCGATTTAGAGAAACGCAGAGAATATAAAGAGAAATATACCGAAAGAGATGGCGCAAATAAGCATGATACTAATCGATCGCGTTCTAGAGAACGTAACTCACATTCCAGGTATAGAACATAATCATTAACATAGATTATTATTTTAAATAAATAAATATTTTTATTATTTTAAACATTTAAATTATTTTTAGTCTATGACTTGTTATGATTTGGTACTACCAGACTTAATTGATTTGTAAAACGTACGACAAAGACTGTGTTCCAAAATTTACTGCCAGTACTGAAAATCTATGAGGTGTCGAGTGGCTTGTCGCTCAGTGCGTTGATTCGCGATCTGTAGATCCGGGTTTAATTCCACCTGCGCTCATATACGCGATTTTTCGAGTTCAAGGAGCCAAAAATGGCTCCATCTGATCATTAAGAGATCTTTGATCACCAGTGCCGTTCGGATCCGATATTAATCTATAGGTTCCATGTAATATCAATGGTGCATACATGTATAAATCCTCGAGGTTGAATATTAAGCTAACAACCTAACTCCGGAAAACAAATCCATTGATACGAAAAAACCTCATGAGAGATAGGCCCTATCCTGCCTTGGGATGTTGCGCTACCAACAATTGAAAATCTATAGTGCTCGTAAGGTAAATTATGGATTTTCAGTACTGGCCGTAAATTTCTAGATAATGTGAATGTTACATAAGGTATCTAAAAGACGTCTTTTATGGCGTTTTCAACCCGAGCGGATTTGCTCCCATTTGGGTTGGATAATGTTCTACTATTGGTTGACGTTATATATTCCACCAGTAGGAGAGCATATAACGTCATTAATCCAACCTAGATTGGTACAAATTCGCTCGGGTCGAATACGCTATTAGACTGCATCTTTTAGACATAAAGACATCTAAAAGACGTCTTTTAGGTATCTTATACAACATAAATATTATCTGGATTTAGGAACACAGAATGCCAAATCGTTGTTGAATAAGATTGTGAATAGTAATTTGTTAATTACTATTATTACAATTATTATTATTATTACAGGCCATTTATTGAAGAGAGATCTTATCGCGACAGATATCGTGAAAGATCGAATGAACGTTCTTATGAAAGAAGAGATAGAGATAGGGAGAGAAACAGAGAAAGAGATAGGAATAGAGACAGAACTAAAACTAGAGATAGATCCAGGGAACGAAGAGATATAGCGCCACATTATATCGAATCACCAATACCTGTACCTATCTATTATGGTGTAAGTAAGATACATATGTATACAATCTTGACCATTTTTTAATGAATGTTCCTAAACTTTGTTGGACTTTCTTGTGAATATATATCTCTACTAGAGTTTTCCTCCGAGACCTATCGTAGTAAGCCCTATGGTTCCATTAAGAGGACAAATTCCTCCTATGGGAAGAGGCAGACATCCTACTTTAATGGCACCAGTTAGACCATTTCCACCAAGATTTCCTCCAGATATGTACAGATTGGGACATCCACCTCCAAATCCAAGTAAGTAAATATATATATATATATATTCATTTTTCACTCGATGTCGCAACATCCCGAGGCGAGACAGGACATACCTCTCATGAGGTTTCTGTATGAATTTGTTTTTCGGTATTAGGTTGTTAGTCTAATGTTTCAGTCTGGGGGATCTACACGTATTTCCACTGATATATGGAATCTAATGCCAGATTCGTACAGTACTGGTGATCAAATATCTTTTAAACCAGATGGAGCGATTTTCGGCTTCTTAAACGCGAAAAATCGCATATGTGGGCGCAGGTGGGATTGAACCCGGATCTATAAATCACGAGTCAATCGCACCGAGCGACAAGCCACTCGTCGCTTCCAGAATATTTATATATTATATATATATATATATAGCACAACTTTGAGAAATTAATCCTATTTCAATTCAATCTTTCGCATTGCAATGATGCTTTCTAATTTGATTAAATATCGCCGAATAGTAATGCCATAAATAGATAAAGATGGCATTCCCGAGAATACCTCGCTTCGCTTAACAAACTTAACGAACCTGCAAATGGGAGGTTCTTTAAAAATATGTTGGGAGATCTCGCAATGATTTCACTCGCATTGTTAGCCTTACAATCGTGCCCGCTCTCTCGGCTCGTTT